ATGCGCACGGCCACGTCGCTCAGCTTCTTCAGGGCCTCGGCCTTCTTCTGCCTCCCGACGAGGATTTGCACTGCGGAACAGCCCAGCTCAGCCCCAGCCCGGGGGCCCCGGCTGGTAAAAGCAGCAGGTCCCACGGAGCCCCAGTTTCCACCCCAATTTGCCACCTGGTGCCCGACAGGAGCCGGGCCATGAGCCGAATCGGCCACGAGGGCAGCGTTAGTAAAAACTCTGCATCTCTCCCCCAACTACGTCACTGCTTTGGGCTGCTAAAACCGCTGGGCTCCCTGTTCCCAGGGCCAGCGGCCCCTTGGAGCCATCCCTGTGACCCGGGATAGGCCGGGGTTCTTGGTAACGGCCTCCCGTGAAGGACGCGCTGCGCATCCCGCTCCAAGGAGAGCGCCAGCCCGCAAGGCCGGGCCGTGTGGGATGAGCGAGCCCCAAACTCGCAGGATGGGGTGGATTAACTTAAGCCCCAGAGCCACGTCCCCCTCCGAAGCTCCTCTGTGAACAGGGCGAGTTGTTTAGAACAACGGGACCCGACGGCAAATTACGGAAATCTCCCCGTGGGACGTTCTCCCAAGCTCGGAGCCACCCGCAGCTCCGCGGGGGCACCCGGCAGGGCTTGGAAAACCTCTTACTTGCTTCGGCTTTCACTTTGTCCATCTCGGCCAGCAAGGCCACCTCGCGATCCATGAGGCTGCAGAAAAAACAGAGGGAGAAGGTGATGAATTATTCAGTGATAAGGGCAGGGGACAACAAAACTCTGCTTTGGTGACAGCCGGGTTTGGCACCAGAGGGCAGCAGGGACTCGCCGGAGCTCCTGCTGGAGCCGGTTGTCCACAGGGAAGCCGAGAGAGCCGGAGCTGGGGCATTTGGGCACCGATTCCCTCCAGGGAAAGGGCTCCTTACCCCGCTGCTCCCAGGGGCTCGGCCGCATTCGCCATCCAGGCTCATTCCAGCACCCGCATCCTGAACACAGCAGCAAAGTCTTCCTCCCTCCTGCTCATTTTATGCTGCTTCCCGACAGCCACGCAACTATCCAGAGATGTCACCAGGGCACAGGCCGCCCGCTCCTGCGCTCTTCCAATGAGAAAGGTTTGCCCCAAAACGGGGCGAATATTTATTTTAACGACCGGCTGAAAGGGGCAGCACCTGAAATGCAAACTCAGAGCAGCTCCTGCTCTCGCGCGCGTCAGAGGATGGAGGCGAGATCAATTTAAACAATTCCCTGGACCGGCAGCCTTGACATTTGGCTGCTGCTGTTGATTTATCGCTCTGTCCATCTGCGTCCGCGGGGCAGGAACGCGGCCGCTCCGGCGCAGCGGGGGCTCCTCCGGCCCGGCCGCGCGGACCGGCGCTCGTCGAGCGGCGCTAATGAGGCCTCTCCTCGTTTGCGGCGCTCCCAAAGCGGCCCAGGAACCAAAGGGCAGGGCCTGCGGAACCGCCGCGCGGGCTGCGCCGAGCCGAACCCCCCGGAGCCGCCACGCGGGCGGAAAAACACCCCAGGGATTTATCCAAGGGGAGCGACGGCCTCGGCGCAACACCAGCTCCACGGGTCACCGAACCCGCGGCACCTCCGCGGCCTGGGCACCCTAGAGCTTGTTTTTCTTTGAATTTCCTCAGCAAATCCGAGCTGGAGGTTTTTACCTGATTCTACACTGCGGCTAAGGAGCAGAGAGTCACGGAGCTGCGCGCGGCGAGACCTGGATCAGGCCCCAAAGGTCTTTTCCCTGCCTAATTTCTTGTCAAAGGAAGGAGCTTCCTGAGCCAGAGCTCTTCAGAAACACGAACCGGCTTTGACTCCGCTGCCTGGGGACAGGATCACACGCGGAGCGGAGAGCGCCGCCGTTCCCTGCAGAAACCTGAGGAAAGGACATTGTGCCCAAGGAAGAAGAGGGGGAAGCAGATAAATTAATAACGGGGAGCGTTCAACAGGGAAGGCCACGGAGTTCTGGAAGCCTCGCTGCGATCTGAAGGACATCGCTTGCACAGGTGAAGACAGCCCGAACTTTACCAGTTAAACACCCAGGTTCTGCTGAGCAAACTCGCTCTTTAGCCAGGTTTTCCTCTGCTAGGAAGGCAGCAGGGGAGGGGATTCGGGATTTACCTACCAGATCCTGTCTTGTGTTAAATAAATATGTACAGTAATGGTTCCCTGAAGCAGAAAGGGACATGGCAGCGGTATTTACACCTCGGCTCCCTGGCAACTGCCTCGCTTGCAGGAAAAGGAAAGGAGGCTCCCGCTGGCCGCGCTCCCGCGTCACCGGCATCGCAGCAACGCGGCACTCGAGTCCTCAGCCCTCCCGACCGTGACGCAAGGGCCCCGTGGGCGATGACACGAGTCAAAGGGCAGGGAGGCACCAACACGGAAGCGGCCGCTTTGGGCACAAGAACGACGTTTTCGCCACCAGCGAGAGGTTCGCGCAGGTGTTTTAAGCATGTGGAGAGGCAGACAGAAAACGCAAGCAGAAAATGTATGTAGTGATTGCACTAGGCAAAGCTCAGAAAGGCAAGAAATAAAATATTCTCATTCATAAACATAAGGCTGAGTTAGGGCTACAAATCCCTCAGCTATTGACAGGGTAAATTGCTTTATATTAGAGCTTTCCCCAGCCACGGCGCTGCCGGGAGCTCCGTGTCCTGGCGCTGCCTGGGGACCACGAGTGCCCCAAGCCATGAAAATGCAGATGAGGGCAGGAGGCACCTTTCACCCCGGCCCTGCTCCCCTGTTCGCTGCAGCCTCCTCTGCCGAGTTCAGAGGTTGTCTGTAAACATCGGGGTGGCCTTTGGCGACGTTTTAGCACAGGCTGCATTTAAACATCGGCTCAATGTTTACGAGTAAATCGGTTTACTTGGAAGAGCACTTACTGGTGGCAATCTTCAGGATGAATACACATGCACGAAGGAAAAAAGGCCATACCAAAGATGTAAATTCACTAAAAGACTTCAGAATACAGCAATCTTTACATCACTGCAACTAACACTCCTGCCTTTGAGGCCACGTACGGTTATCGGACAGACAGCTCTAGACACAGATCTGCAAGGCTGCCAAATATCTCCTTTAATCCCTCAGCGCGATAGCAGCATTTTAGTTCCTTGTCACATGTTCCTGCAGGCAACAACTCTGTGCAGTTTCTTACGAGTATTTCTTTACCAAGAGCAATCATATTTGGATAACCAAGAACAATTTCTCATAAATAGGTTCAATCAGCCAAGACAGCAAATATATCTGATGTTAGGACTTGCAGAATATCATCTTAAAGTGCTCACCCAAACCAATAAGAGTGTTCATGAAAAATTTGATTACTTATGCAAGGAACATCATGCACAGTATTAAAAGCCTGACTTAAAAAGTGAGGAATTTTGTACAGAATGACCATTAATGTGTATTTATACCTTCCAAAGGATCTCTCTCTCCCATGTTACATCCAGCCCTTAATTTGAAAATTTCGAAGGCTGATGTTTGCTCCAATAAAACCCAGGCTGCCGCACTCGGAGCTCCGAACGTTCTCCTTCCAGCACAACCACTGTCAGTGCCTGAATTACAGCACGTTCCCTGGGCAGCTCCTCGTATTCCCTGTGTCTAGAATGAACTCACACTAGACAGGGTGGCTGCCTGGAGCAGCCAAAGTTTGCCAGAGTCATGCATGGACACATGGAAGCCTCCAATGTGTTTAATACTTCTTTGCACAAGTGGGAGGGCAGCTTCCCACTTGTGCAAAGCTGCCCACCAGCAAAGGCAGCTTCTAAACCCCGGTGAGTCCAGCACTGTAGCCTCAAATTTACTCTCTCCACCACACTGACCCCTCAAACTCTGTGCCTGGGCAGTAGGGCAAACACAAGCAACTCAAATTAATGACTAGAAAACGGAAGCCTTATGTGAAACTTACCCAGCTCAACCCTTAACACCTGGATCTGTTCCTGTATTTGACTCACCTACTCTGCAGTTCAGCAAAGACCTGCTTCATCTTCTTAATGGAGGCGTCCATCTCCTCCTTCACCACGACGCGGTACCGCGCCAGCGACACGGTGCAACGCTGCAGATCCTTCACCGATTTCTCAATATTGGAACCTACAAAGATTGACAGAGAAAACTTTTAAGAGCCATTTTGACCAGACTGTTAAATCTTCCTAGAAGAAACATGCCTAAAGATGGCTTTCCCTTTTTAGAAAGCTGTGTGCTGCTTGGCTTTAAAATCTTCTTTCCTTCCCCATTACCAATGAGGTGGAGCAGTTCTGGGGATTCTCCTACAAGGGAAGGTTTTCCAGAGCTTGAGGACTTTCCTTCCACGGGCAGGGATATCTGCCCATATTTTCAAATATACGAGAAAAATCAAATGCATCTCTGAGCTGCACAAGGGACTGGAGACAAGCCAAGTCCACTCCTAAGACCAACAAACCATATCCCTGAGTGACAGGAAATGTTCACCAGGGGAAGAAAAGTCTTTGGGAGGTTTAAATTAAATCTGTACGGAAGGTTATTTCCTCAAGTCAAGAGATGGAAGGACTGGTTGTCTGCTGCAGAGGTTGGTGTCTGGGTCTAGCTCTCCAGCAGGGCACCTCACCTTGCCCGTGCCCTCTGGAACTGCCTCCAGGGCAGTTGTCCCCTGCCAAGCTGCATTAGAAAGTGCTCAGTGTGGCTTCCCCATGCAGCAAGAGGTGAACTACCAGCACCCCATCTCACCAAGCCAACCACAATAACCCTGTTCACAACTGGGGTCTCTCAGGTCCTTCCTGTCCTCACTTGTTATCGTAAGAACGAAGCTGTGGAGAAAACACATGAAAAGAAGAAAAAAAAAAAATCCAGTAGAAAGAGGCTGTCACTTCTTGTAACAGGGTTGGTCAGAACTTTTGGCCTTTCGACAAATTCTCACAAAAGATGAGAAAACCTAAAGGCTCTGTGATGGAGCCCGCAGAAGAATGGGCTAAACATATGCAGTGTTTGCCTGCTTCCTCCCTCCTCTCGCACGCGCGGCCTCGCTCCTCCAGGCCTTACATCTAAACGGCTGTCAGGAGTCCTGCTGTGCGCGGAGGAGAGGAGGAGGAGAGTGCAAGTCACTGGCCGGATAATAAGAAGTGTGTTAAGTCGCATTAAAATCAAAGTCCTGCACGCCTCACCAGCGCATCTGTCAGTGACCACAGAAGCAGCAGTGAGAACTCTGCCCGTAGCAACCCGCTCCGATGCTCCGGAGCGCGCGGATCCTCAGGCTCTTACCCAGCTTCTTGTTTGCAGGTGAACCTGGAACATCTTCCAGCCGCGTCACGGCCAGGGAAGCGGGAGCGGAGCCGCTTGCTGCTGCTCTGGCCTGCGACCTGCTAGTGCCGCTCTGCTCGGGCCGCTGTCTGCGGGACGAGGGGCTCTGGGAACGCTGCACGACGAGCGGTTTTGTGTCAGAGTCTGCTATTCCATTCTCTAGTTCAGGCACTGCTGTAGGAAAGCACACTTGTTTAAAGGGGAAGGCAAAGAAGCCAGCAGAACACTGCCTGCCTCTTCACCACAAGAGCAAAACTAAGCAGCCAAGGCAAGGTGCTCTTCTCTGAAGAACTAGCCCAACAAATCCACACTCGGAGCCGACAGCAAACAGAGCAGCGACGCGAGGGCGGCAGCTCCTTTGCTTTCCGAACGCTCCGCGTCCGTCTCCTGCAACACTTTCTAAGGACTAACCTGTTCTATCAGGCATGTCTGGAGCGGCAGATTCACAATCCTCCAGCTCTCTGGCATCAATTGAAAGTGCATCCAAACCTTCGCTGAGCGAGTCCACAGACTCCGTGTCGTTGGCACAGCCGTTGACATGGTAACCGTTAATTCCCCCCTTCTCCGAGTTTGCCGACTGCTCCTCTTCAGTGGACACCAATTTACTGGGGTCTGGGAGGCCAGGGCTCGATCCAGCTGGAGCTTTTGCCTTGGTTTTCTTCTTCTTGTTCTAATTAAATACCCCCACCACAAAGGGAAAAAAAAAATTATTAAGCTTAAATCCTGAAGGGAAAACTAAGCTCATGCTTACTGCCAGAAAGTAGCCGAATTAAATTCTTTTTGGCCAGCCTTGTTGTTGATCCTATTAACAGGAGGAGGGATTTATTTAACAATGAGGACAGATATAGTGGCATTAATGAGGTGCAAATACATTATCCCCTCTGATGAGGTGCCAACAGGAATAATGCACCGGGCTGTAGATGAATGCAGTGTAACCAATGGAAAACAGCAGTTCTGTTCCTGCTAAAACCCAGGGAACTCCATAGGTCCCTCCTGGCAAGGAGGGAGGTGCAGCTTCCAGCACCACGGTTGCTACTCAGCAACCAAAGGGTTTTCCAGGTCTTACCATAATAAAACTTCCCTCGTGTTTCCCAATGCATTGATATTTAGTCAGAATTTTGGCACCTAATTTCATCCTGGTATTTTTCAGGTATTCAGATGAGCATGATTATGGTTTTATATCCATCCTGGCAGATTTGGACGTTGCAATATTAAGTACTGAAACTTTGCAAGTCTATATTTAACCCTTTCATGGGGGTCTGAGCAAAGCACTAGGCAAAACACCAAATAAAACTTACATGACAGCACTGTATTTCCATGGAGCTCAGCATTAAATGCAACTGTTCAGCTCCAAAGGTTACGGATGAAAAATGGAACAGCATGACTATGGGAACAGTGAATTACAGCGCTCGCTGGAAACAAACGGACCTGATAAAGATTTACTTCACTGTGGGGCTGGGTGTGCAGATTAGGGGTCCTGCAGGGAGTCAAAAGAATAAAAGCTACTGCAAGGAGAAGAAGTTTTTTTTGGAAGCCTTTCTGGAATCCTGCATTGAGCACAACAGACAGGAAAGCTAAATTAAACGCGTGCGTGGCGAGCTGATGTCTGCACAACTTGCACTGAAATGGCCACGCAAATCACGGCCCTCAGCAGCGAGAGGCCCGACACCCTCGTGACAACCCCCGGGTCACTTCTGCTTACATCAATACACACGGTTGCTCTTGGGTTTCTTTCCTCCTCTCAAGCACGAGGAATGCCCACTGATGTCTGTATTCTAATGTAACACTCCCTCATCCTTTAAAAAGGAAAGGAAGCAAGATGATCAACACCTTTGGAAGGTATATTTAAAAGTATTACCTTTTTTTTGCCTGTTACAGTCCATTCTTTCAACACTTCACTGGCATTGCCTGGAACAAAACGCAGTGATGAGCAGCAGACAAGGCACCGATTCCAGTTATTCCCTGGCAATAACCAACTGTCTCCACACCCAGAGCCACCCGTGACTCTCCCCACACCTGAGTTTCGTTTCCCTTAGTCGACGCAATAGAAGGAGCAGTTTCATTTTTGCTTTGGAACACGCTGCTGAGCGGGACTGCTCCATGCCAACCCTCCTTTTGGCTCTGTCACACTAAGCCCTTGGGTCCTTAGAAGGCTGCTAGGGCTCGTGCTGAATTCCAAGGTTGTGCTCAGGTCAGATTTCTGCTGGCTCCGTCTCCCCAGTGGCACCGACTGCATCGGGATGCCCTGGGGCTCCGGAATTGCTGTCATCCCTGCTGAGGGGCAGGGGCAGACGCGGTTGTCAGCGATGGTCAGCAGGCAAATCAGGCCAGTGTCACCCGCAACAGCCTGTTGTTCCAAGCACAGAAAACCCATCTAAAGGCAGCAGGAAAGCCAGACCCAAGAGGAGATTTGCCAGGCAGGTTTCAAAGTACAAAGAGCAACTATCACCGGTGAAGACATCCCCATTCCTGCACTCCCGGATTTCTGAAAGGAGGCTGGGTCTCAATTAATCTCAGGAGCTAGTAAGGATTTATCGCTGCCCTGAGCCCTGATGGGGTGAACAGTGACTAGGGCCACGGCAGGGGAGCTCGTGCTCGTCCGGAGAGGCTCTATCCCGGGCTGTGCCACAAGCGGTGACAGCTTCTCCGCTACACGGTCTCCAAAGTGCCCCTTCTGCACCAACACACCTGATTCCGGGGGAAGTTGGGAAAAACAGCGGATACGAGCGAAGCATCACGAGGGCCCGCGGGGGTTACCTTCCATGAAGGCTTGCACCGTTCTGTCCACGCAGTTGTCGAAATGCTGCAGCACCAGCACGATCTCGTTGTTGCTCCTGTTCGGGACGATCGCGCGCACCGCGCCGATCTGCGGGGAGAAGGAACAGGGGAAAAGTTTTCGCCACGCGCGTTACCCTAACGAGGATCCACAGCAACACTTCTGCAACGAGAAGGAGAATAATAATAATAATAAAACCCAGCCGACCGATCGCTTCCTTCTAAAATGTTAATATGCCAAGACAATTTGACCCGACTAAAATTTGCTTTTGACAGAGCTACAGTTAGGTCCCAGGCAGAAACGTATTTCATCTCGGAGAGCAGCCAGAGCTACAGAGCTCCCGAGTTCCTCAGTGGCAGGTCGTGAATTAGAGTCTCAGAAGACACATTTACCTTCTCCTTCATGTTTTCAAAGGTTCCTCCCTGGGCCATCACTGTGTTGGACTGCACATCAAAAACAAATCCAGACGGATCTGCGGAGACAAACGAGAGGGAGGCCCTTTCCTGAGGAACAGGCAGGGAAGACCGCGCCACGGCCCAGCTCCGTCCACGGAGCAGGTTGTGTTTAGCAAAGCCGGGCGTCAGGGAATGATCGCGCTCCAGCTGGGCCTGCAGGTAGTTGCAGTAATGCCCAGGGCCTTCGGATCAGGGAGGTTCCGACTCACTCCTCCCCTCTGAGTCAGTTCAAACAAAGCAGCCGGCACAGGCCGAGCAAGGGGTGTAGGCACCAACAGTGCGAACCTGCAGTGAAGAAAACCACAGCTCTCGTATTTCTGTATTAATCTCAGGCTAAACACACCACGGCGAGCCCAAAGCCAGGGGGCAACACCCGGCGGCACCAGCGCCCGAGGCTGCCCCATCCCCGGCGCCCGCGGACACGCGCGGCCTGGTGAACGCGCCGAGGACGCGGCCTTGGGGCTCCCTGCCATCCGCACGGAAACGCCGCTTTTCAGGAAGGGCTCCGTAACGGCGACCGGCGGGCG